AACCGGCGACCGCAGCCGTCCCGTCGCTTCCTTGTGGCCTCTTCTGCTCTTGTCTCTTGCAAACTGGAATCTGTCTGGCAAAACCTGCTTCAGCCGCGCAACGTCAGGCTCCCCCACAGACAGTTTTGGCTCTGGCTGTTCCTGGGACTCCCTCGGACCAGCAAGACTTGGCTTATCCACTGCGCTGGGACTGAGAAGGCTGCTGACTGCTTGCACAGCCCCAGAATCACGGTCACTGGCCTCCTCCCGCTCCAGCACCTGCTGGAATCTCCAAGGACTGGGGGGCCTCTTTTCCTCAGCCTCTGGCAGCCGGACAGCCCTGAGCACACCGGTGTGGTCTGCTTTATTGCTGATGTTCAGGTGCTGCAGGCCCATCTGTAGGGACTCCAGGCTGCCGGGAAGGGCTGCACCCAGCGCAGCATCCTGGCTTCTGCTTGGCGGGATGACACTTGAGTGCCCCGTACTCTGTGGTCCTGGAGAAAAGGATGAAGATTTCAAGGCACAGAGTCTCCTGGAAGAAAACACGTGGAAGGCCTCAGTCAATCCTGGTAGCATCTCCTTGGGGCAGGCAAGATACAGCTTGTACTTGTCTTTACTAAGACCAACCTGGAGGGAGTTTCTTTGCAAGAGGCTGCACAGTTCACTCAGGGCACTGTCATCTGGACCATCTACAGCGAGCTCCGAGTAGCTCACGCTCTGACACACAAGGTCAGGACACTTCTGCACAAGAGCTTCCACCTTCCATTTAGCCTGGAAAAGCTTGCTCCTGTCCGCTGCCTGTAGTGTCAGCACAGTGCAGTCCCCAGCACGATGCTCCAAGATCTGCACACCCGCACCCCTGCGCAGCTCATCAATAGCAGCACGGCAAGCGTCCCTCAGGTAAGACCACTGCAGAGAGTCCAGGCTCAGCTCTTCACTCACCCTACTGCCTCCGCTGCCTGCCCTGCCAGTGTCTTGGGGCTTGTCGCTGTCCTTTGACCTTGGCAGGGAGAAGCTGTTGGAGCGTCGCAGCAAAGGCCTGGATTCAGAGGGTTTAGAGTCTAACGCAGAAGAGGTCTTTGTCACATCAGAGGTACTGGGAGTGCTAGCAAGGGAGTGGTGCTTGATGAGACCTGAGCCTTTAGAGTCCCCAAGACACCGCGAAGTGCTGTTTTCTTTGCCTCCAAAGGGAGACAGAGCCTTGTGTCTTGTAAGCCTGGCACCTCCTTTCACATGGTCCCACTCTTTGGGGTCCTTCTGCTGAGACTCTCCTGCTGATCCCATAACCCCCTCTGTTGCAGAGACCTGAGGCTGGTACTGCTGGGTCAGTGCTGTTGGGTCACTTGGACCTAGAGCATCTGTCTCTGACAAAAGCTTTCCAGAAAGCTGCGCCTGTCCCACCGGTGGAGAATCCTGATGCAGCAAGAGGCCCTGGCTGACCTTAGACTTGTCAGCTCTCCAAGCATTGAAGTTGGCAGCTAGCTTGAGCTCGCCCTTCAGCTCTGGCCTGCGTGGGCTGAGCCCTGAGGGCGAGGTGTCCACAGGCACTTTGGGCTCCTGCAGCACAGCCTCCGTGGTGCGGGAGGTTGCTGGGTGCGAGGGCAGGGAGCCGCCGAGCATGCCAGCTGTGTGTGCAGCACGTCTTCTGGTGCTGAAATCCTGAAGGTACTGCTTGGCCTGGGACACATCAACAAGGTTTCCAATAAGGTAAAGCTGCTTCTCATCCTCATGGCAGAGCAGCTGGGGATACAGTTTCTGCAGCTCATGTGTCAGAGCCCTGAGTGCCTGGCTGTCCGTATCCAGTCCTCCCTTGGTGATCTTCTCCTTGCGCAAGCTCACCTCCAGCTGCCGGTAGAGCTGCTGCAGGGCCAGGTGGGCCTGCTGCAAGGTGTCCATGTCCCCAGACAAACCTGCAGCTGGCTGGAGGTACAGTATGGCAATGCCATCGCTGCTAACGTCCACCACATCCACACGATGCTGGCGTAGCACACCTTGGTACTCAGCAGCACAGAATCTCTGCATGTACAAGTAAATGTCTGAGTCCATCACTAGGGAAAAGTCCTCCAGCTGTTCCACAGCTTCCCCATCCACTGGGCCCCGAGGTGATGGGACTTCAGCTGCCTTTTCACACAGTTGGTCCCAATGTGGCAGCTTTGCTGTCTCTCTTGCTGACTCAGCAGAGTCAGGCACTTGCTGGTGATCGTGCATCCTGATCTCTTTGGCCACATGGCTGGAACCTGGCATGAGGATCTCTCCAACAGGTTGTGTGTTGAGGTTCAGGCTGCCCAGCAGGTCTCTGCTGAAGGCCTGTAGCTCAGTGAATGGTCCCTTGACCATGCAGTGTGTGCTCTTGGAGTCGAAGTTGAACTGCACGTTGCTGTAGCCTTCATGCAAGTTCCTCAGGAGGGTTTTGCCAGCAGGAAGCTTGCCATAGTCAACTATCACGCAAGCACGTATAAAGATCTGCAAGTAGAGAGCAAGGGAGTGAGAGAGCAAGGACCAAAAATAACCTCCCGCCAAGGCACAGGGGGAGGCAAATGCACCTGGCGCTTGCCACAGCCCCTGCATTACTATGACAGAAGAGATGATGTGATCCACCACGGCTCTCTCTCAGAATCCTTCATTCAAGTGAGATGGGAGCATAACACAGCCAGGACTAAAAGACCCAGCCAGCCCGAGCAACTCTTGGACCTTGCACTCATAGTCAAAAGCCTTCTGCAAACAAGGAACGTGAGGGGCAAATTGCACAGAGGTGCAGCCCCACTTCTGCGTGCTGGGAGCTCTGCAAACAGCCCCAACCCAAGAAATCCACCATCCTTTCTGCATCTGAAATGCAGTTGCCCTCTTGCTCTCCCAGAGCTTCAGCTGCAGACCCTCAAGCAGCCTGGCACCACAGGCTTGCAGAAAGGTCTTCAATGCCACGCTGACCCCATGCCCTTGTTTTCAGTGCGCAGACATAAAAACATGTGATGTGGCTATTGCCATACTCTCTCAAAACTGGAGGAAGAGAAGAGAGCTCTTCAATGCCTCCTAGACACCAGCATGCCTGTCTCCTAAGGTCTCCTGAGAAGGAGAGGAGAAAAATACTCTGTGCGTGTCCAGCTAATGACATGGCGTGCAGCTAATGACATGGCAGAGGCATTAACAGAACCCCCCGTGTGTCTCCAGATGGGCTGGGGAAAAGTGCCTGGCTGTCCCCGAGTTATTAGCACAGAAAAAAAAAGATTCCTCATTTGAATACAAATGAAACCGGATTTGCTTTAAGTCTAATTAAGAGTAAAGGAGAGAGCGCGTCTGCCAGGCACGGAGCCAGCCTGGGAGCCAGCTGGGGCTGTCACGGCCGCAGGGGCAGGAGCTGTCGGCTCCTCGCTCCCTCGTCGGGGCTCAGCTCCGCAACGTGCGCCGTCACCTCCAGCGGGTATTGCTTCCCTCCGACCGACAGCACGTGGTTCCTTGCCTTCACGATCCTCTCGGCCACTGGGCAGGAAAAGTGGAGGCCAGCTGGGGCTGTCACGGCCGCAGGGGCAGGAGCTGTCGGCTCCTCGCTACCTCGTCGGGGCTCAGCTCCGCAACGTGCGCCGTCACCTCCAGCGGGTATTGCTTCCCTCCGACCGACAGCACGTGGTTCCTCGCCTTCACGATCCTCTCGGCCACTGGGCAGGAAAAGCCAGCGGGCACCAGCGTCAGGCAAG